TTAAAACTTGTTCTTCCTCTAGGGATTTCTGTTGTAGTCAGTACACCACCACATACAGCAGGAAACTTGGAACCATTTTTGAATCTTTTCTCTTCCCTCTCCCTCACATACCAAAGCTTGTCAGCAGTAATAAGTATATTATAAAAATGATACTGATGCCAGGCACAGTGGTACACACCTGTAATCATAGAGACTTGGAAACCTGAGGCAGGAGAATAGTAAGTTTGAGGCCACTCTTGGTAAATTGTCTCAAAATAAAAAAAAATAAATAAAAAAGACTGGGGATAAAGTTGAGTGGTAAGGAACCCCAGGGTAAAATCCCTGGTACCAAAAAGAAAAAAAAAAAAAGTTATGAAACCCAGGTTTAGAGTCTCATCTCACTGAGAAACCAATGTCAGAGAGGAGTGTTAGGGAGAAAGGATTTATTCAGTGGCTGAAGAATGGAGAAGAGGGAGCTTTGCTTACAAATCAGCTTCTCAACTTCAGTGGGTGGAAAGGCTACAGATACTGGACAGGAATAATGAGGGAGAGGGATAAGCTAATAAAGGGGAGGAATATTCATGTCTTTTCTGGGAATCGATGGCAATCTTCCAGGAACTTGAGTGCCACCTTTTGTCATTCCTTTTATAGTCTGGTGTTTCCAGTTATGGTGGCTGGTAGGTGCCTTCGAGGAAGAGTGGCGAGGGGGAGGGAGACTACACAAGTCTAGGTCAAGATAGCCCTGTACTACTGTTTAGGACAAACATTTCTCAGTTGATTAACATGTCTACATTCAGAGCTGAGTAGAATCTGACCCAAAGATTAAGGCAACAAAGGAGACAGACCCAATATGAAGACAGGGATGCCAAGCCTTTTCATTCCTTTCCAGTCCCCCATCAGATATCTGTAGGTCTAAATGAAGAGTTAGTGTTTTCAGCACTGATTTCAGGTCCCCAAAGAAAAACCTAGTCAATGGTTGGGCGTAATCTACAGCAAAACTAGTGAGGGAGTAATAATGTATTGCCCAGCTGTGTGATCTCCCCAAATTATTGATTTTTAAGTCAATTAAGGACAATTGAAGCCATGCCTGGGTGATGCATGCCTATAATCCC